AGGTGGAGTGCCGGTGTGGGGGGGTGGGGGGTGGGGGTGGGCGAGAGCTGGGAGTTGGGGACCGAGGAGGGGGCTGCAGGGGAGGGGAGCCAGTGTGCATGCGGGTCTCCACAACCCCAGGGTCAGCCATGAGTGCCTGCGCCGCCCTCGGGGAGGAGGGGCAGGATGGCGGTGGGCTCGGGGTCAGGCTGGGAGCCTCTCACTCTTCTCCCAGATCCACCCAGACCTGTACTCTCCATCCGAAGTCCCAGGGGTCCAACCAGACGGATCAGATGGTAGCTGTAGCTGTGGGCCAGGCTGATCCCCTGTGCTACGGAGAACTGGTCCTTCCAGGCAGAAGTTGTGGGGGGAGGCTTTGAGCCAGGTCTCCTGGGAGAAGATGCGGCTGGAGAGAGGACACTGGGGGAAGGCCCGCCTGGCCGAGCTGGACTCTGGGCCATAGGATGCCAGGGGGGTGGCTGTGGGGAGGGGAGGGTCCTCGTAAGGTCCCCTTGACAGTCTGTGTGGCCGCTGCCCTCTGCCTTTGGTAGTGACCCCGCCTGCCTCCGCCACCTGGCTGGGAAGGCCCCAGCCTTTAGTTCCTCCTGAGCTAGCCAGGCTGGCTGTGACTGCATAAGTCTTCCCAGTGTTCCAGCTTCGTTCCTCTGCCCGTATTCCTCCCCAGCCCCAGCGCTGAGAGTTCAGTTCCAACCACGCTGGGAGTGTGTCCCTGGGAGGCAGAGTGAGCACCCCAGCCTCAGCGCACCTCAGCACACCTCCCGCCATACATGTGGGATCCGCTTACTGGAGCCAAGGCTGGCCTTGCCTGACAGAGCTGCGGGCTCACAGCTAGGGGGCTTCTGGTTTTGCTGGTGGTTTGAGAGAGGCCTGGGCACACACATCAGCTTCTTGGACTCAGCCCAGAGGCTTGCCTATGTCCCAGATACCAGTGGCCCTGGGAGCAGAGCTGTCCCTCTGTGTGCGCTGGGTGGGGGACCTGCCATGGGAGCATACGTTCATGAAAGACGTGGAATAGGGAGCGTGTGAGAAGCTCTCAGTGACCCTGGCCTTTCCCCAGGGGGATCTGACCCTCGCAGTCAATCTGGGGACACCCCCCCCCGAACATGCCCCAGGACCAATGACAGGCCCAGGAGAAGCAATGCCAGGCCCACTCTGGCTCCCAGCTGCCATCTTGCCTGCCGCAGGTGGGAAGACTCAGGCTGCTCCGTGTGATGCCAGGGTTAGCAGAAGAGGGGCAAGGAGTCTGAGGGCCAGGCCACATTCCAACCTGCGTGTCCTGGGAGTGCGGCTGTAACCAGGATCTAGCCAGGATTCCTCCTTGATGCCCCTCCCTGCCGGACACCAGGATTATTCCATCCGGCTCTCCTCTGCCCAAGGCTGGGGGAGTGGGTTCCTAGCTCCCCCTTCCCAACAGGGCACGCTTTCCTGAGGCTTGCTCTCATTCCCCACTCCAGAGCCCTGGTCTGGACACCAGGGACCCTCAGAGACCCTCGAAGAACTCAGAGTGGGCCCAACCAGCCACATATAATCACCCAGTAAGAAGTCTCCGCCCTTCTGAGCCCAGAGGAGAGGGACATGTCCCCTCCCCTCCCCCCAACACACACATACACAGCTCAGCAGGCTCAGGCCACCCTGAAAATGCCTGCTCCCTGGCCCTCACTTCCTGAGTGCCTGGAGAAGGGGGCAGAAAGGGGCCGGAGCAGACAGGAGCATGTGGTCAGGGCAGAAGCCGGGCTGGAGGGCCACGGCAATCATACAGCCTACGGACGCTCAGCCTTCTGGGGGTCATGGCCCCCTTGAGAAGCTAATAAAAGTTGGGAAACTGTTCTAGAAAAATGTGTACCCACACACAATTTCAAAGGACAATTTCGAAGAATCGCGGTGTCCCCGCGTCTCATCCGTCTACCCTGGGAAGTCCCTGAAGTTTTTACTGGTCAGGAAATGGCTGCCCAGAAAAGGAGGTGTCTGGCCTGGCCGTGTTGTCTCACGCTGGTGTCCTGGAGCGAGGGAGTAGCAGAGACTCACAGTGCCAGGCTAGGGCCCCCCCAGGGCACACCTGCTCTCTAGGAGGGGGTAGCAGCTGGTACATGGGGCAGGAGTGGGTCCAATCCGGCTCTAGGCAGCTGCTGCCCCGGGGCACTCGTCGGGGATAAAGCCTCTCCAGCCCCGCAGGCCTGGCTCTGTCCAGCCTTGGACGGCCTGAGGGCAGCAGTGTGGGGCAGGGACTGGTGCCCGCCTTTGCTAGCCGGCAGCAGCCTGGTGTCACCTTCGTCCCCCAGAGGTGGCCTGGGGCGAGGGTGTCATGCTGCTCCCCATCCTCTTTGGGATGGCATGGACCCTGGGTAACGGGTAGGCAGCCCACCCGGACCCCTTGGACTGAGCCCCCCTCCTGCTCAGGCCACTTCCCTAGTCCAGAACTGGGGCCGCAGGCCAGGGGAGGGACATGGCAGCAGGTGTTCTCATCCCTGGCCAGGCGGTGGTGTGAGCGGACAGAGACCGTCCACGTGGAGGAGGAAGTGGTGCCCCGCCAGCAGGACCTGGTGCCCTGCGCTAGCCTCGATCATTACAGCCTCCTGGGCTGGCAGCTGGCCCTGCCCTGGGCTGGCCACGCGGGGCTCACAGGGCCCCAGGGGCCCCGGCTCTGCCCCATCTACAAGTGAGTAAGGGTCAGAGCAGGGCCTTCTGCCCGGCGGGAAAGGAGTGACGGCAGGATGACCTGAGAGGGAAGGGCTAGGGGAGGACCCCGGGAGCAGACTTTGGGCAGTAGGTCCTGCGTGGGCTCAGAAGGGCGGAGACTGAGGGGTGGGATGGGCGGGAGTGACTCCGAGCTGGGCAGAGTGGGGGAAGGGGTGCCAGGCTCCTTCCCAGCATCACTCTCCCCCTGCACATGGGTGCAGTATGGCTAGGAAGGGGACATAACGGAAAGGGACCCCCCGCAGGTAGCTGATCAGACCGAATGTCCCAGGCCCGTCCTTCACTGGGACAGGTTGTTGGGACAACTGCTGGAACAGGGCTGAACCCCAGTGTTCCTCCCCAACCCCTGCCACCTGCTTGGTGAGTGTAGGCCTCCAGAAACTCGGCCTGCCACATGGAACCGGACGGTGAGGGCCTGCTGTCCAGGCTGGGGGGGCACCCACTGCACCGAGGGTAAGTGCCTGAGCCAGTGCGGGTAAGCAGGGCCTTCCGGGGTCCTGGGTGTGGAGACTGGCCCAGTTCTGCAGTTTCGAGGTGCTCCAGGCTGCACCTGTTCTCACCGGCTGCCCCATTCTCGCGTCCACCCACTACAGCCCTGGCTGAAGCCGGCCCCAATGGCCACTGCTTTGCCACATGGCAGTGCGAGCCACAGGGAGGCTCACCTAATGCTTCCGTGGGAAGCCTGGAGGAGTGCTGTACCTGGCCCTGGGGACACAGCTGGCAGGATGGGCGCTCCCAGGCCTGTCTCAGCTGCTCCAGCCTACGCCTCCCAGGTGGGTCTGCCAGTGCCCCC